AAACGTCTCATGGATGAAGCGAAAAAAGTTGTTAGATTTCGAATTTGGGAGATTTTTGGACGAGATTTGGAGATATTTGGGAGGTTATGATTTCAATTTTGGGGAATTTAGGGTTTTGTTTTTAATGTTTTGGTGTTTTAATTTGTTTTGGAAAGTATCATTAACCTAAAATTATGGATCTAAATTATAACCTTCCAATTAATCAATTTTGCATATTAAAATGAATTTAAAATTAATTTGTAAATACAAGAGGCTATTTAAGTAATTTATATGATGGGTACCCTCTTAAATAGGGTTGATACATAACAAATGTGTAAATTATATACATTCCATCCTTTTATGTAATTACAAACTTTAAATAGTCCATCAATGTACTAATCCYAACTTTCAATCATAGATATATGACGCCAACGTCGGCTAATGGAGGTCTCTAATTTTCACAACTTTCGTTACTTCATTTTCTTTCATTATTATCAATCACCTACACCACTTTTTTTCACCCAACCACACAATTCACGAGGAAGTTTTACAGTGTCTCGAACATGAGTTTTTGGCAAAATAAAAAAATACATGGGTTTCTTTTCTTTTATAGGTGGTTTGCAATCACACCTATAAGCGAATAGATGCATCGTCGCTAGTCGTGTCCCATAGGAATTTCAAGGATAAAATAGGTATATATTAAAAAATGGGGGGCAAAAATAGAAGGCAAAAATTCTTCTTCATAGTCTCATTTATATATAGTATAGATATAGATATAGATAATTAAAAAGTAATTATGAGAATGGAATCCTTTTAAATTGGACTGTACGATGCCATGCTTTTTGGCTGACTCTTGATTTACTTTTTAATTTTTACTTCTTAAAATTAAACTCGTCCGTTAAGTTAATTTTAAGGATAATGCAACTTTTAAAAAAATTACAAAAATAATGTATTTTTAGTACAATTATATATAAAAGTAATAACAAAATAGACATAATTTATATTAAAAAAAACAAAAATTAGGGTAGTTATCCAAATTATTGATAAAAATAAATTAGGTGTTTCTCGAAGTTAAAACTGGCATGCACACGTGTACGTATAACAATCTTTTAAATCCCAACTATATGGTAGAAATAAAGTAGTCCTCAAGTTTTCATATTTTTTTGTTACTAAAAAATATTTAAAATACTATAAATAAAGTAGTCTTGAAATGTAACTATAAATTTGTATTAATTGTGTATAAACTTAGTGTTAAATTTTGCAAATAGAAACCAAAATAATTACTCTTAAAAAATACAAATATCAAAACGGACATTTTGAAAATACATAAACTAAAATTAACACAAGTTAAAAAAAATCGGGAAAAAAATCAAAGCCGAAAATATAAGTAACAAAATAGTTTTAAAAAATGAAGCTGGTCACTTTTATGCATCTTTTGGGCAACTTGTTGGTCGTTGGCTAAGAAAAACACCGAATTAACAAGATAATTCAAATTTGAGATAAATTAATAAAATATCCTTTTAGAGAGGGGGATTGAATTGTTTGAAGGATAATACATTCTTATTTAATTTCTCAAGATTAAAATAAAGAAAGAAAATATATTTTTCACGATCTCCATTTAAGATAACGACCCTTTCAACATCTCTAATTAAGATGAAAGGTGTCGGTATAATTAGAAACCTTTAATAAATGGTACTTTCATCTCAAAATACCAACATTTTTTATGAATATCTAAGCTTTGCCTAATTTCTAAAATAATTTTGTTTAAAGATTTTGGTAGACCTTGAAAAGTTTTCAATTTTTTCCAATGATAAATCCACTATGTTCTATCATGATAAATGAACTATGTTCTATCATGGAACAAAGACTTTTCATTTTCCTCGTCTACTTGAAAACATTCATCCATCACATTAGATTTCATACCGTATCATTTACTCAATCATAAAGAAGACATAGTAGATTATATTTTTATTGAATTAATATAAGTATTGGAGTACATCGTAAAAGCATGGCTAAAAAGGTAGTATAAACAAAAAAAGTGAATCCACAAGTAAGAAATCATCGCGTTCTTGATTCTCATTCCCATTTCACATTCTAGATAAGTAAACATCATAACTAAATGCACCCTTATCGAATCCTCGAGCTTTAATACCACAAATATATGAATTTAGATACACTTGCACATCATAATTTAAACATTCATTAGTACACAAATCTATAATTGTCATTACTATTACTTCAAAGCAACTTATAGAACCAACCCAGTTCAGCATTTAAACATGTATCACACGTAAGTTTTATAGAGAAAAACAAGTTTAACTGAGTGCATAGTGCACACACACAGAAATATGCTTACAATCACAAGCATTCCACAGCTGCTAATAAAGTAGCAGAATCAGAAAGAAACTCTACTTACAATATGACAGCAGAATTGCTTCACGCCTTGAAACTCTGCATCATCAAGGGAAGCAGCAGCAAGCCGATCGAGCAGGGCTTCTTCAGTTGCCTGATCAAATTCAGATCTTGATGTGAACAAGAAGTAACCCCAACACTCCCAAGGTGAAAGAACGGAAGATTTGTCCGAACCTTGCGGCTGCATCCATCGATCGGTAGCATAAAACAATTGATGTCAATTAAAGATAAAGAAGAAAGATCCGAATAGGCATAATATCATATCAAGCAGAACTTGAAGAAAAAGGCAATTTTACATTAGAACAAAATATTAATCATTGGACCAAATTTTACAAAAAGTTCGACAAAGCTGAATTTATGTTGTATTTATATCCAGGATGTTCAAATGAACTAAGATACTTTTGCTAGCGAGAGCTCTTCATCTTCCCACCATTTAGACTTTAGAGCCAAGTTTAACATTCAAAATATTGCTTTCAGGTCCTACGAGGTAGCATGACTTTGAATACTTTGGTAAAGAAAGATATTGTAGGACAAAAGTTTATATAAATCATAATGAAGAATCATGATCATGTATAGGGAACGTGAATAGATGAAACTTAGGTCAATGAGATATTGCATATGCAAATTCCTTATTTTGCATTAAAAGAAGGCAAGGCACCAAACTCAAACCTTTCTCCGAAGCTGCCAATACTGGTATCCTGGAAATACTACGTACTCTATTCAAAAGCAAAATGTTGAGCATAGAAAATATGATGAATACTACGTACTGGATTCAAAAGCAAAATGTTGAGCTTAGAAAATATGATGAAGTATTTGTATCAAGAGTCGAGACTAAGATAATGACAATAGTTAGTTGAATGTTCTCCAAGATGTATGTAACTTTCCAAATTCTCAAGGATAAAAAGTTATAACCAGAAGGTTTGACTCTATATTTGCATTACTAGTAATTGTTGAGATCACTGATCACAATCTCCTCCAAGAATATGAACCTATTCTTGTGTCCATTCTCATTCAAGGGCCAAGATTGGATGCAATATAAATACCTAATACAATAGTTTTTGCCATATAGCCTTGCAACAAAAAGTTTCTTGTACAATAAAGCAATTTGATGCTATTCATGAGAAATATTAAGAAATATTTCACCTGAAGAAACAAGAAAATCTTCTTGCCACAATCACGAATCAGCAGATTGTACAGAATGCATTTCTCCTGTAAATGAGAACATATCTTGGCAATAACCTCTCCCATTTTCTTCAAGTTGTAGTTGCTCTCAAATACGAGGGTCTTAACAGGGTAGCCTGTGATGGTAGAAACATAAATCCCCCTCAAGCTATCACTAAAGAAGGTATCCAGAGTCATTGCCTCCACAGGTAAAAGGCTGGAAAAGAACAGTGCCTGTAACATTCACCCGGAGGGTTGTGAACTTTATGAATTTGCAATAATTTTCATGGATAAAGAAGACAGATGACATATATGATGATATCTTATTTTCATGCATGGAATAATAATATAGAATACTAGAATTATTGCATATCAATGCTCATTATCAACTTAAGCACTTACAGCAACAGCCACGTTTTTAATATATTCACACTTTAAAAAATTGCACAAACCTTGGATCACATGTGGTTTCCATATTAAATAATTAAGCCAGTTCTATCAAACATAATGATAACTACCAAAGTTCTGGCTTCTCACCTGAAAATATGCACAAGCAGTCCTGGGAGTGGAAAACTCATAGAACAAGCAGAGAGCACAACTATTAATTTCAATAGCAATCCTCAAAAGCATTTCCAAGGACCTATCTTCCAGGAACTGAAGAGGACCATTGACACCACAGGGCAACAAGAAAACATGGCCATACTCCACAGGGGTTGCCTGGGAGAGAGAGAGTAACTAGTCAATAGCCAATCAAACTTTATAATGAATATCGAGAAGTCTGCATTTATGAAATCAAGAAGCCAACTCATTAATCAATTTCTATAATTTATGAAAACACACCAACTTCATTCAATACTTTATTAGAGAAGAAAAGAGGATGATGGAACAATGCTACGCAATAGAAGTAAACACACGTGCACGTCAGCGGCTCAGTGCGGCAAGCATGAAAAACTTTGACAAATAATGATCTAGGGAAACAAAACACACGTCCACGTGTGCACACACACAATGAAAGTCCAATTTGAGTCACACACACAATGACACACGATGAAAGTCCATATTTAACTCTTACATTAATAATAACCAGGATGGAACAGTTGGGCACTAGAGCTGCAGAAATAAGCTCAGGTTCAGTATTTTCACCACTTGAAATGCAAAAGAGTAATTCCTCTTGACGTTTGAAACAATTAGTTTGAGCTAGACTTCCTTGATCGCATCTTCTTTTATCCCCGTCTTCTTCAGACAGAGGGCTGCTGATCCAGCTTTCATTCAGCTGAGCAAGGAACTTTCTCCTGCCCACTATCACCTACAGAAACATTAATAAAAAAAAATGTTTAAAACCCTGATTTCAGCTGTCTCCCCTTGTCTCATTATTTTGGTGGGCTATGGAGAGGGAGGGTCAAATTGATTCCAGCCATGAATAATGTGGTCTCGATCAAAGAAAGTGCAGTATACACTACCTTAATTTTAGATAGAGTCACATCATATCTAAAAAGACCCTCGGACAATCTCTCTTCCCACTGCAATGTGGAATGACCATTACACATACGTCCAAAACACCAAGAAATAAAAAGTCTTTTTAAAGCATACCTCGGCAAGAAGTAGAGACTCCAATATGGTTTGTTCTTCCAGAGTAACACGTGAAGGCCCTTTGATGGAAATATTATCCAAAGGAGAATAACTACCAAATTGATAAAGGGGTATTCTAATACCTGAAAATTTCCTTTTGTTATCTATAGCTTCACGGAAGATTGAGATACTAATTTAATTCTTAGCAGTATATTAGCCGTAAAAACAAATCCTAAAAAAATGACAAGTTGTTAATAGTAATCTTGGTTATCAGTCAAGGATGACACCGGAATACAATAAATGGACAATCAAGCTAGCACACCAAACAAGCACCCGTCCATGACATTCTAATGAAGAGAAATCTTCACTGGCATTGTCTACAAATGATAGAGCATCAGAAGAGTTGAAATTCATTCAGCCATCCAGCTTGCTGATACCTAGTAATAATTAAATCTAAAAATTACAAGAAGCACCCTATCAAATCAGCCAATCTCAATAAGTTCTAAACAGACTGCTCATATCCCCAAACTACAGATGGAGTGTCTCTTTAACTATAAGGGATTTTTTCCATCAACTTCGATTGAGCTTAAAAATGTAAAGCTAAGGTTGGTCATTTGACCTCAATTTTCTGCTACTGTTTGGAAATTAGGAAGTATATAATTTTATAAGATAGGAAAAAGGAGATAAGGAGGTGGGGGATTTGGTGTGCTTCCACACATCTAGATGAAGCTCCCTGCCCAAAGAGTTCTTGAAACTACCCTCTTTTTCAATTGCAGCCAAAAGGAGATCTAGTAATACTTTGGACTTGTAATTACAAACGTTGTGAAGTGAAAGTGGACAATAATGGTTTTCACAACAGAGAGGGTACAAATTATTATAACGATAACCGCACAGCTAAGCTGGTAAGGAGTTCCAATTATCGCAAGTGTCAGAAAAAATATTCAAAGTGATCAACATTGTGCTACCAGAAAAGATAATGTGCTGGGTGAAAAATAAAGAACAAACACTAACCTTTGATGCATGACTTATGGGTTTTTAAATGATCATTTGCTGTAAATTTTGGACATAAATTCTCATCCTCGACCTGCTTCACTTGAACCATGATTAGAGTGATGTTTAATGGTAATCACAAACTAACAAACTGTATGCAATATATTAACTTCTCGGGACAATCCAGTAACAAGGAATGCCGCTCGGTCGAATGTTTGTCTTAGTAACCACCGCCAGCAAGGAATGTAAGATCTGCTGGGTGCCCACCAGCTGAGGGAAGGGCCCCACGACCACCGTGAAACGAAGGGGATGCAATCAAGAACTTCGGGAAAGCTTGCATATATTCTTTGCCCCTTCTAATTTTGAGACAGAACTCTTGCCTTAAAGCCGTGATTGAACAATGGAAGCCAGCCCTCACAGGACCAGCCGTTTGAAAGTCTTGAAATAACTGTGAATGAGAATTCAAATTTAAAAGAAAAGGATGGTAAGCAAATTTCATGTGCCTTTAATAAACAGAAGATTATGTGCCATTAAATATCCATTAACACCTCGTTCTGATCATGATTTTGAGGGTAATTAAAAGCACTTTCTTTAAGAAAAAGACACCAAACACTTCTAATAAGTTATACAATTTCCAAGAATCGCTTTCGCCATGTATCCAAAACCCCATAAATTTTTTAATTCGTTTACAAAAGTCATACCACCCATAAGTCTTCACAAAATCTCGATGCTCGATAAAACATATCACGAAAGAATACAATCCAGTTTAGAATAGCTAAACGAAACCTTTTGGAGTAAATGAAGATAAGGATCCTTCGCCAGCCAACCGATGCAGAGAATCGCCCAAAATCGTTCTCAAATCAGGAAAGAGACGCCTGCATGTTATAAGATCAAAGTTACCAATTAACGAGAATCCTGTTTGCTACCGGATATAGGAAATTGAATTCAAACTTTACATGCAGCTGACGAATTAAGGAATCGATAACGAAAATGAAATGCTCCTGGAATCGAGATAACCTACCATGTTCCTCACGCCATCCGTGGTAGCTCGCTCACACTCTTACTCTGCATAGTA